TGAAGTGCAGAGTGCTAGGAAAGGAAAGGAAGTCAGTTGATGAATTGTTGAAAGTAAATCAATTGAAATAGTTATAGTACACGTCTTGTTCATGCTGTGAGTAATCTTGGCCGTTATTGGCTGATCAGGTTTAAAAGGAGTTAAGGGTGGTTAAATCTAAAACCTGGAATCAATCTATGAAGTCTTTGACAGTTAGTTTAAGCCACATAGAGAGAGAGAGATGTAGATTGTCTGGTTGGAGACTATTGGTAAATATGACTCAAAGTCGTTCTCATTAGCACAGATACATTCACTTTTGTAATCCTCTTAGATCGAATAAATCCTCATATTTCACCATGTTACAGTTTTTCCTCCTACACTTTTGTGGTTATTATAGTTTCCTTTAGTGCTTTTTTTCTTCTCTGTTTTCTGTTCCTTTGTTTGCTACGTGGGGTGTGGCAATTTGAACTGCTGCACATTCGCGGTAAGTTATTTGTTGAAACTCAGTCAGTCAGTCAGTCAGTCTACTTACACTGTATAGAACAAACTATACGACATAGTTACCCTTTATTTCATGCCTAGATCCAAATATTTTTTATTTATTTTTGATTATTTTTGATTACAGCTTGATTCCACACCGTATTTTTTGGTACAGGTATGGAATTTTCAGCATGTGATATCGGTAGCCCAAATTTTGCGGGCCGACCATAGACATCAGGTGTGCGTTGGCAGGGAATGCTGTTTCTGATATAACGAAATTGGTATTAGTTAAATAATAATAATAACTATTTTGATTTCACACTAGTAACTAGTGTGACGTGTCTAGTCCTCTCTTTTGTTGCAGAGTGAATTCTATCAGTCAGGTTTGCAATGTGGCCACCATTCTAGGTAGGTCGCCATCACGGTGCACATTGATTTGATGTTATTAAATGGTTGGAGACAATCGGCCACAGGAAGCCTTCGACCTAGGTTTCGTGCTAGTTGGCACTCACCAGTCAGAAAGGCGTATCTGCAGGCACCTTGAAGGAACTTATGTCCCTCCTAAAATTCGAACCCGCATCACCCAGGGGTGCAGTCAGAGATGTCACCACTGGGCTATTCGGGTTTGCGATTGACCTCCTGTAGGACTGTAGTGGATAGTTTGATTTGACACTAGTAACTAGTGTGACGTGCGGACTGAATCCTATCAGTCAGGTTGTAATGTGGCCATATTCTAGGACCTAGGTTCAAGGCATCCTGCCGATTGTCTCCAACCATATAATATCATCAAATAATAACTATTATTATATACAATACTAATAGAACAGTACATTCCCATATTGATCATCTATGACGCAAAGAATATGCATATTCTTCTTTTAGATGCATTCTACGTTTGACTTATATGGATTCATGTTGCTTTCTGTGAAACTAACCCGTTAACAGCATCCACTGTTTCACTTATGTCATAGACGTTGTATCATTAAGTGCAGTAATTGTAATTAGGCAAGCTGATTTATAGGTTCTATCAAATCGATAACTATTGAAGTATTATCCGTTAGGTACAGTGTAACTTATCACATCTTTTACTCAGTTGATTTTCTTGTAGCCCAGTATGCTGTGTCTAGTCATCCTTTTAACGCTTAGTACATCAGATTTTTTCTTAATTTATGCTCAGTATCTTACATCACAGTTGCTGTTTTTGTTAAAACTACATTGATGTACTGCTATGAGTTATGTAAAGTGTGTGTTCAACCTTTCCGATTGTTTATTCCAAACATATTATGACCAATAAATTTCGTCCTGTAACCTGATCACATATTTGTTTGATATGATAATTCTTTGTGTTAATGCATTTGTTTATCGATGTGTGAATTCGTTTGTTTGTTCATGTTTTCTGCATTAACCCAGAGGTGTGTACGTTTCGCTTTGGTTACTTGTTCTCGTTTCATACCTTCAGTATTAATATGTTTATTCTGTGAAGTTGGTCACTTCCTATGGACTCAACAATTTAATGATTGTCAAACATCATTTCAAAGTATATATGCAAATAGATCGGATACTAGGAATGTATTCATTATGAATTCAAGTACATCTAATAATCAGATTTCAGTGTAAGTTGTTGTCGTTATAGTTATTAGTGTTGTTTATTTGTTTCCGTGTTTTGTAATCTTTACAAATAAGCTCTACTGATTATTGTTTTCGATGTTTGTTTGTTTGTAATACTTAATTCCATCCTATTGTAATTATTATGGACAACAATAATATCATCAGTGTATAACTGAGCTTGACTACAATAAAAACATTATAACTATTAATTAATCCTAATAATGCCTATCGGATACCTGTAGTACACTAAGGAAATAAACAGTCTCCTTTACCTGCTTGGGAAGCATCGTTTCAACCACAGGCGGACGGAACTGACGAGGATATTAAAGCGAGGATCGGGAAAGCAAGACAAGCTTTCATTACTCTCAAGTCTGTGTGGAGGTCAACAGAACTCACCATCAAAAATACGATCCGGATTTTTAACTCCAATGTAAAGTCAGTGCTACTATACGGATCAGAGACTTGGCGCGTCACGAAGGGCACTTCGAACAAACTACAGACCTTCATCAACAGCTGTCTTCGCTCAATACTCAAGATCAGATGGCTGGTCAGAAAAGATCAGCAACAGGGATCTCTGTGAGCGAACCAACCACGATCCGATTGTGAAACAAATAGGCAAGAAGAAATGGAGATGGATTGACCATACTCTGAGGAAACCATCAAGTGACATCACTAGACAAGCCTTTAAGTAGAACTCGTAAGGGAAGCGATGAGTCGGGTGTCCAATGGTGACTTGGAGGAGTTGAAAGCATGTGGGCAGATGTGGAGCCAGGTGAAAACGTTGGCAGAAAAACGAACGCAATGGAGACGTGCAGCTGAATCCATATGTTCCTCTAGGAATTAAAGGAAATAATAATAATAGTACACCAAAGTAAAACAGAAACTCCCTTTTTCACTGTCCTGTGATACATCTTTTATATCGTTTTTTATTAGTGGATATGCTTCCTTCCTCCTTATGCAAATTCAAGACAAGCCATATAGGCTAAATAAACTAAGATTTTAAGTGGTTTTCGTCAATGAACAGCAAAAGTTGTTGGTTCATAGACGTTTCAGTCTAATGTTGATTCCTTTAATTGCGTGAACTCTTGTACCTGCGTTTCTGGACTTAGTGTAAGACCTAAACATTCCTGACACCCATGCTCATGACATCTATGACTAAATACTGCCTCCAAAGCCTCAGGATGGTCGTGGGTGGGTGCCTTGCGCTGCGGGTTGGCCACCCCTCCGCACACCTCCTAAAATGCTCCCATATGACCGGGCGTCTTACATAGCCTCTCCTGAGGAAGTCCTACTCACTGCCTTCACGTGGCGGAGGTGTTTCTCACCAAAGTGAGAGGGCGAAAGCGGATGCCCGGCGCTCTCCACCGGGTTGACTGTCCATTGGATGACAGTCTAGGGGAGATGGCTAGACCCTGATTCCAAACCTCCAACGATTGGCGTATGAAGCTCACTGGAGCTCACCGGCAGACGTATGGACAAAGGGCTTGTTGGATGTCCTGGATGTCTGGCCCCATTCAAAAAGGCGTATGAACCGAACTCCGGTCATCGGCTGCCAATGGATAGTGGACTCCTTACTCCACTCCTACTGCCTTGTAGGTCACTCTTGGTTGTGTAAAGGCTAGAGCCGCACTCTCAAACAAAAGGCCGAGCGATGCTGGGGACATCACTCGTACCAAATTCCCACGTAACTCCATGAACTCTCTTACAAATTGCCGCGCCTGGGCAGCGATGATTCGAGACGTTCATGAAGCCGGGCGTCTTACATAGCCTCTCCTGAGGAAGTCCTACTCACTGCCTTCACGTGGCGGAGGTGTTTCTCACCAAAGTGAGAGGGCGAAAGCGGATGCCCGGCGCTCTCCACCGGGTTGACTGTCCATTGGATGACAGTCTAGGGGAGATGGCTAGACCCTGATTCCAAACCTCCAACGATTGGCGTATGAAGCTCACTGGAGCTCACCGGCAGACGTATGGACAAAGGGCTTGTTGGATGTCCTGGATGTCTGGCCCCATTCAAAAAGGCGTATGAACCGAACTCCGGTCATCGGCTGCCAATGGATAGTGGACTCCTTACTCCACTCCTACTGCCTTGTAGGTCACTCTTGGTTGTGTAAAGGCTAGAGCCGCACTCTCAAACAAAAGGCCGAGCGATGCTGGGGACATCACTCGTACCAAATTCCCACGTAACTCCATGAACTCTCTTACAAATTGCCGCGCCTGGGCAGCGATGATTCGAGACGTTCATGAAGCCGGCTCATCCTCCCGTAGGAGATAGCCGAAGTAAAGTAAGTAAGTACTGCTAAGTGTATTCACAAGGCATTATGAAAAAAAAATGTATATGCATAGTGCTTTTTGATTTCGATTGTTTTCTAGCTTAGATTGTTTTGGAATAAGAATTACCTTGAAACCAATAGCTTCTTAGTTGAAGACAGGATTTTGTGAATTTATACAATTTATTTACGATTAGCAGTTGCAATATGTCTATGTGCTAAAATGCTATCTTAGACATTAAAATGAACCTAAAGATATACTGATATGTCTTTCTTGAATTTTTAATCCGAACTTTCTGCACTTAGTATTTACTTGCCTGACAGACTTTTTTTGTTTATATACAGAATAGTTTATCGCAAAGGTGAACTTCGTGTAGATGACAGAAAGCCTCCAGGATATATACGCTATCTGACGAGGTTATAAAAGATAGAAGGTTACTCCAGGCCTAATGATAAACTGATTAAGAGGACATGCATACCCCAGGGATGCGGATACTGCGATATTCGTGAAATTTCCGCCTGTAGTTGTATTCAAACATTGTGGCGAAACGACTTAAAAAGTATAGTGAATTCAGTTCACTAACATGGCTAACTTATAAATGTGTTTTTGTGTATCCATGTTCATGTGTTACAGAAAAATTAACTGCTCATTAACTGACAAGCGTGTCTGTCTGTCTGGATTCAACATAGAACTTGGCACCGAAGTGCAGCAGTTCGAGTTGCCACGTTCCAAATAGCACACAGAGGTAGACAAGAAGATGAGTGAAGAGAATTAATAGAGTTTGACAAATATAAGAGTGAAACAGAATGGGTAATGGTAGAAAGGAATATGAAAGATTACAGAGACTGAATACATCTGCGCCATTGACAACGATTTTGAGCCATGTCACCTATTGTCTCCAGCCATTGATTCCTAGAGTCCCGAGGGCCCCAACCCGGGAGTCTGCATCTCCCTACCTGACTCAGTTTAACTGTCAAGGATTTCATGGATTGATGCCATGTTTTTGTTTGGCCACCACTGGCTCTTTTCCAACCTGAACCTATATCAGCTAGCAATGCCCGTCGGGGGAGGCGGTGGTTAGGCATGCGCAGCACGTGACCTAGCCATCTTAGTCTATGTAACTTTATAGCCTCGTCGATTGATTTTCCCTCTTTGCCCAACACTCTACGCCTAACGTCAACATTACTTATCTTGTGAAACCACCTAACGTGAGACAGAGATCGCAGACATCTATGATCGAAAGCAGTCAACCTTTTCATGTCTTCAACGCGTATTGGCCATGTTTCAGAGCCATAGAGAAGGACGGAGCGAACTGATGAGCAGTACACACGTCCCTTGGTTGATAACCGGATGTCACGCCTACGCCAGAGATGGTGTAAGTCAGCGAAAGCAGCTCGAGCTTTTCGGATCCGTGCTGAGATTTCATCGCCAATCAGTCCGTTGGTGCTAATACAACTTCCCAAGTAGGTGAAGTGGTCAACATGTTCTATCACTTCACTCCCTATCACTAAGTTAGGGGTTGACGTGGTCCAGTCCTGTAGCAGCATCTTACATTTTGCAGGGGCGAATCGCATGCCAAACATACGAAGATTGCTGCTCAAGGTGTTCAGAAGACTCTGCATTTTGTCAGCATCCTCCCCTAACAGGACTATGTCATCTGCATATTCTAAGTCCATAAGATTATTCCCTGGTAACAAGTCGATTCCTAAGTCACTACGTTCAGTTAAGGATACTTCCATTAGCATATCTATGATGAAGTTAAACAGAAATGGGGAAAGTGGACATCCCTGTCGGACACCACTGGTTGTTACCAATTCAGATGACAATTCCCCATAAGCCCTTACACGACTACGTGAGTTTGAATAGAGTGCCTTGATTAGTGCAATGTACTTTCTTGGCACTCCCTTCACAGTCAGACATTGCCATAGTACCTTTCGATCCACGGAGTCGAAGGCCGCCTTCAAGTCAAGAAATATGACAATTGTTGGACGCCGAAAAGTGTGTCTATGTTCTAGAATCTGTCGAAGAGTGAAGATATGATCTATGCACCCTCTACCTGGTCTAAAGCCTGCTTGATTTTCCCTTGTCTGTTCCTCCCGAGTTCTGCTTAGTCTATGCATGATTACTGAGCCTAGGATTTTAGAGACTATGTTCGTTAGGCTGATCCCCCTATGATTATCACACGAGGACTTGTTTCCCTTCTTGAATATCGGTATAATGAGTGACTTACCCCAGTCTGATGGTACTGTCTCTGATTCCCAGACTTTGCCTAGTACCTCAGTTAATCTACAAACTAGTATGTCACCCCCATATTTAAACACCTCCGGAATAATTCCGTCGGGTCCTGCCGCTTTGCCTCGTTTCAAATTACTGATAGCTTTTGTAACCTCACCTACAGACGGCGGACCAGTGTCTATATCCCATTCGGGTACGTGGTGGATGGCGGGGAGGTTCAGTGTGGCTGTAGGCAAGTTAAATTGTTCCTCAAAGTGTTCTTTCCAGCGTTCAAGGCGTCTATCCTGAGAGCTAATTAAGGAGCCATTTTTCTCAGAAATAGTCTCACTTATGAATTGCCTTCTCCCGCCCGATTCTGTGATGAGTCTAAAGAGTTGCCTAGTGTTGCCTATCGCCAATGCTTTTTCCATCTCTTTCGCCTTTGTCACCCACCACTGTTCACGGTCCTTGCGGAGACTTTTAGTAAGTTTCCTTTTGTGCAGCTTTCGCTCCTCATTGAATTCGGAGCTCGCCGGAATAAGTCTTCTAGCATCTATCAGTTCGGATGAGGCAGTCGAAATCCAGTGGTTTTTACTCACCTTTGGATTTGCCTTATTCACAGCTTTTACAGCTGTATCTATAGCTGACTGAATATTCTTCCAGGCTTCTCCAGGGTGAGCACAGCTGTCGAATTCAGATATGCGTTTAGCTAGTTCTTCCTCAAATAGGGATTTAGTTTCCTGATCGAGCTGGGGACGTGATGGTTTTACCGCCAGCTGTTTCCTACGTCCGTTCAGTCGTAAGCACACACGAGCCCGGACCAGTGCGTGATCGGTATCTACACACGTGTTCCAGAAGGAGCGACAATCTCCTACCGACCCACGCCAACGATAGCTTATTGCTATGTGGTCTATTTGTGTCCAGCGTTGGTTTGATGATGGGGGTCGCCAGGTTAAACAGTGTCTCTCCTTGTGTTTAAAGTTAGTGCTTACAAGAAACAAATGATTATCTGAACAGAACTGTAGGAGACGGTCACCGTTGTCGGTTCGCTGGCACGGAACTCCATAGGTGCCACCGACATCCTTCTCAGATTGACACAATTTCCCTACTTGAGCGTTAAAGTCACCAGCTAGAACGACTATATCTGAGCGTTTAGCCTTTCTCACCAAACTAGACAGCTTTTGGTAGAACTCATCCTTCGTTTCATCCGAACTGCAGTCAGTGGGGGCGTAGGCGGAGATTACGAAAAGGCATCGGCGAGTAGTGCAGTCCTTTCTCCTTCTTACTGATCCGTTCAGACGGACAGCACACATTCGGCTATCTACTGGGATCCAGTCAAGCAATGTCTTTTCTGCCCTAGTACTCAGAGCTATCCCTACGCCAGCTAATCCTCGTGAACTAGCTGTGGCATCTCCTGACACCCTCAAGGTGAATTTTGAAGATTCATCCTGTTGGCCAGGTGGGGTTAGGTGAATAACCACACTTGGGTCTTGTATGCGTGTTTCTGAAACACAACATACATCAATGGCTCGAGATGCCAGGGTCTTAGCTAGTGATGCTTGTTGTCCTATTTGGCAAAGTGTCCTAACATTAAATGCTCCTATATGAAATTGGTGGCGTGGCTTTAGGAGACTATCCGTGGTGGTTTTTTGGCTTTCGTCGTTTTTAGTGGACACAGAGTGAAGAGGGAGTGAGGAGCCATCAAGTAGAGGAGTTGCATCACTGGGGGAAGGCAAGGTAATAGAGATGAAGATGAAGACAAAGATAAGTGAGGATTAGAGAGGTTTTGTGTGCGTTTTGGATTGTGAGGGCGATTGTTACTTCCCGGCTGCCCACACCGTGGAAGTTGGTTGCGTGACCGCAGAGCCCAGGGGACAACTGCTTGAGGCCGGTCACACGCGGCCTGTTTTTGTTCGTTCTTTGTTGTTTTGTGTGCCTCAGTAGCATACTTATCACTCCCGCCCTGTGACACGGCAGCAGGAAGCGCGGTCGTTGTTAATCCGGGCCACGGCCGATCCGGCATGAAATTTTGTGAATTTGTTTGGATCATGGTATTGGATGAGGTAGCTGCTTTTTGTTTAACCGCTATCCAAACAACCTGCCTGGCATGGTAGAACCTCAAGAGACATAAGTCTCAGCCAGTATAGCTTGATTAGGTCATTGCGGTGTTCAAGCCCGACCACCACGTCAAGGTAGCAGCTTTCGGTCGTGTAGCTGGATAAACATGTAGGTGATCGTCTCCAATGTCTGTCCGTTATTAAGCTTGACCAAAACAAATCAATATGCCCAGGAAATTTTTATATATTGAACAGTTTGCTCATACTAGTGCTATCTGACCTCATTCACGTAAATGGACTACAGTTTTTCATTGTTGACTGATAGGATTAATTATTAGTTTGAATTATAATATATATTTATAAATTCTCTCTCATGTTGGTGTATTGTTTGTATAACTGACTAACAGAACGATATTCAATGCTCCGTTTGCGTGGGAGTATATATTTTTCGGAAATGAGATCACCTCTGAAATGTATTACATTTAGGAGTGAATTTTGCATATCTTTATGATTATTCATATTATTATATTATTATTGTTCCCTTGGGTTACAAGTGGAACATAGGGCTTCAACTGCACGTCTCCACTTGCTTCTCTCTTCCTTCTGCTGTACTTTTCACCTACATCCATCTTAGTTAGTCCATACTCTTTCAACTCCTCTTCAACTTCACACGATCTCCTCCTTGTCACCCTTGCACTGACGTCCCACTCACCACCTCTTCCCTTTCGGCCTAATTCCACTCGAGCGATGGCCTGACGCGCACACGATGTCACCCAGGGGCCTCCAGCCTCAGCGAGTGTCCAATCCATCTCCATCCGCTTTCTCCTGCATATTTGCTGTTGGTGGGCGATTGGTTCTTGTTTTGTTTGTTTGTTCCCATAGTTTCTTGTTGGTGATGAATTCTCTCCGGCCCAGCCATCTGATCTTCAGTATAGAGCCAGCGAAGACAGTTGTTCATAAAGGTCTGGTCTGCAACCGGCTGTTAAAAATATTCTTTGTGACCCACCCGCCAAGTTTCTGATCCGTATAGAAGAACTGACTGACTTGACGCTGTTTGTATTGAAAATCCGACCGACGGAATTTTGTTGTTGATGCTGGCTGAGTGACGAAGATTTCCAGATTGGTTGTTTCAGGTTGATGAATGTGTTTCTCGCCTTCCCGATTCTCGCTCGACTTGACATCCTTGTCCGTTCCGACTGACTGTAGTTGAGACAATGCTCCCTAGATAAGTGAGTGAATGAAGTAACCTCTTTCAGATCCCTCCGGTTGGTGGTGATTGGCGCTGGATGTTGCTGATGTTGTTGTTGGTTGGTTGGCGGGTTGGTTATTTTGATAACCTCCGTCTTGTCTAGGTTCGTCTGGAGTCCTGCCTTCGCCGGCTGCTTCTTCGACCAGTTTGTCGGTTTTCGCTTGTAAGTCTTCGATTTTGTGTGACATCGAATATAAATCATCCACGCGCGAAATCCAGGTCTTCTAGGTTCTTCACGCCGGTCCAGGATATTTTTTATGTTTTTAGTATTTTTAAAATATTTATGCGTTGAACTTTCTGTAGCAATTTGGTAAAGTTTCGGGAGTGAAGTTGTTAGCGCCACGCCCCAACCCTCCTTCTTTATCCAGTCTAGAAAACTAGCGGGCTGGTAATCTAGGCGAGGTTATGATTATTCATAGGTATTGAGTAAATTCAGTTAGGAGGTGAGGTGTGAATTGTCATTGTGCGTGATATCACGTACTGGAAGAATTCATCTGTATAAATATATCAGCTTCATTCGTCTGCAAAGTTTTCCGCCTAGAATAACTTTTACTTGCATAAAACTGTTCTGCGAAAGCAGTGAAACTTCCAAATATTAATTTCTTAGTACTTGACACTATTTCAGTAATCCGTGCGCTTTCCACTACTTTCGGTCAATTTTACGCATCATACATAGTGTGCTAGCTAAATATTCTCCGAGGTTTTTTGGATTCACCAGAGTAGAATGTGGTTCCAAGTTGAAGTTAGTGCTAGCGTATGTTAATTATTAGTGATACTATAGACAGTATAGAGACTCGAGAATTGCAACAGAATATTAGTTAATAATAGAATTTCAGTGAAGTAGCCAATATTTCTTAGATAGAAAGAAGTTGTTTAATTTTCGAAAGTATTCATCGGATGAATACTTCCGAACTGCAGATAGCTTTTCCATCACTTCCTCAGTACTCATCAGTCAACTTTAGAGTATTCAAAGGCAATGCTCACAACTGTTGAAGTTGAATATTTATTTTAGCTTTCTCACAAAAACTGAGAAATACTGTCTTCTTTAACCTTTTAAATAACTCAATAGGGGTTTGAAATTTTTTATAAATATCCATGCCAAGGATCGATTATAGAATAGAAACAAAATAGAACAAATCAAAATGTTCTACAGTATAATATATCTCAAATTTAATTTCAGGTCAGCTTCTTTATTCCTTTCAAGTAGAGGGTGTATTACTTACCCTTCGGCAGAGGCTAGAACATGGGCATACTTACAGGCATCCAACAGTTGCCGTGAATGCATGAAATAGCCATATTTATCATACTCGACTTCATCGACCGAGGGGTGCTATGGCAATGTTTAACCGCTAAGGGTGTGCCATGAAAATACATTGTACCAATCAAGACACTCTACTAAAACTCACTTAGCCGTATAAGATCTAACGCGGGGTTGTCTGTCTGTTTTCGACATGGAACTTTGCACCGATATGCACCACTTCAAGCTGCCCCACTCTATGTAGCACACAAACCAAGAGAAGAAAGTAGAAGAAATGCATAATGGAGACAGTAAACAGAGGTGTGAGACAAAGGAATAGTGATAACGAAGAACAATATAGTTTCATTGGAAATCATAAGTCACAAGGAGTGGATGCATCTGAGCCAGCCATTGAGAACGATTTTAAACTATATCACCAATTGTCGACAGTCATCGGTCTTTACTATTCCGAGGACCCCAACCAGGAAGTCCACACCTTCCTACTTGGCTTAGACTAAATGCTGTGGATTGCACTGACTCATGACGCCATGTTTTGGTTTGGCCACCACTAGCTAACTCTTTTTCAACCCGACCCTGTCAGCTAACATTGCCCATCGAGGAAGGCGATCAATGGCTAGGCATACGTAACACATGTCCTACCCATCTCAGTAGATGTAATTTCACAGCCTTGTCGATTTATTTCCCCTCCCACCTACCTAGCACTCGACGCCTAATCTCAATATTGCTCACCCTATCATACCATTTTACACGGGAGATAGAACGCAGGCACCTATGATCAAAGGCAGCTAGCCAGCTTCTTCATATCTTCCACTTTCAACAGCTAGGCTTCACAGACGTAAAGAAGGACGGAGCGGACTGATGAGTAGTACACACGCCCTTTGGTCGATAGCCGGATATTACGTCTACGCCGAAGACGGCGTAAACTGGCAAATGCGAAAGTAGCCCTCTGTATCCG